GAGCAGGAATAGGGATAGGGTTGGAGCAGGGATAGTGGCAGGGAGAGAAGCAGGGGCAGGGATAGGGGCAAGGGAAAGGAAAAGAGTAAGGGATGGGTATAGGTATATAGGTAGGAGTACGGATGGGGCAGGGGAAGGGAAAGGGAATAGAGATGGGGATAAGGGGGAGGGAAGGAATAGGGGATAAGGGGAGGGGCAGGTGTGGCTATAGTTGTAGGGACAGGTGTAGCTGTAGGGGCAGGGGATAGGGATAGCTAGGGATAAGGGCAAGGATAAGGGCAAGGAAAAGGGCAGGTATAAGGCAGGTATAGCCATAGGGGCAAATGTTGGTGCATGTGATGGGGCAGGTGTAGGTGTAGGGACAGGTGTAAGTATGGGGGCAGCTGTAGGTGGTGCTGCACCACAGTGATGGGGGTTTGTGGGCACTGTTGGGGCTGGGAGTAGGAGTGAGGACAGAGAGGGAGAACCTGGGGTGGAAAAGCTGATGGGACAAGGATCTGGGAGCTCCTGAGCCTGAAAGTCGTTCAGTGAATTCCTAACCCTGTGAGTCACTTCACACCTCTTAGCCTTCATTAGTGCTGAACAGATGCACCCCCAGTGCTGTGCAGAGCCAGTTATGGCTGAGGGTGAGTCAGAGGGACAGGGCAGAGCTCAGGCATGCCCTGCTGGCTCTCAGTGGTGTAACCAGCAGCAAGAGACCCAATGTCCACAAGGCTGAAGGCAGGGACACGGACACATCCCAAACTGGTACATGGGGTTGCATTTACCAGTTTAAATTTGTCCGTGAGATTGTCCATGGTTTGGGGTTTTTTTAATGGAAAACATATTATTTTGATACACTTGACACCATCAGTTTGAATAGGAAATAAGCTTTTACTTGGTCATTATAATTTATAAATTTTTAAGTGCATCAGTCCTCTAAGTTTGAGCTAATGCCTGGAATCATTCTGTTCTTCCTTTCCCTAAAGAGAAGCCAGGCAGAGCCCAGTTCCCAGTGGATGTAGGTGTCCCATGTAGGTGTCACTCACACACTTCTCTTCCTCAGGCCCTCCAAGGCTACATCATCTCTGTCAAAGGCCTCCAAACACAGCGCTTTTCACTCTCAAAATATCTTCCTGGCCTGCTTTTTTTTTTACCATATATATTAATCCAGCAGTTCTAACTGTCAAAAAAATTCCAGCCTGAAATTCTGCTGATCGAGTGGACTCTCCTGTGAGTGACCCGAGCAAGGCACTTGGACAAATCCCATGTTCCAGGTCAGGAGCTATTTCCAGCTGCGTGGGCTGACTATTGCATTAACTCCTAACTTTGTTACTGCCTTTGGAAAGTGCTTTGCAAAGGGAAGCTGTAGGGTAACCTCTGTGTCACCTTCCCCCGTGCCCAGTTGGGTTTGTGGGGCCATGAATCTCGTTCCTGTTTGCTCTGTGCTTCAGCCAGACCTGCTGTCCGGGCCTGAACTCTGCAGCAGGGTCAGGCATTCTCTCCCCTGGACAGATGAACCTCCTGCTCTTTAATAACGTTGGGAAAAGTGAGTGTTTTCAGCTTGGAGGGATGGGAGAGCCTTCCTGATGGTGGGTAATAGAATCAGGGTGAAATATACGTGCAATAATCAGGCTGGGCTCTGCTAATTGATCCAGAATTCAAGTTAATCCACAGAAGTGGCTTAAAGGGGCCCCAGTAAGGCTGGGCTAATGGTGTGGCACCACCCAAATGGGATCCAACTGCAAAATTTACAGTAAATTTGATCCAACTGTAGTGGAAAGTCCTTCAGTTGAAAATGGTTTGGGGCTGGGCAGCTATTTTGGGCAAATGTCCCTTGTGCCTCCTCTTTTCTTGTGTTCTCCCCCAGGCATGACTTTCTGACAGGAAACAGGACACTGAGCTTTGTCTCACCCAGTGGGTCTGCTTTTATTTTCTTAAATGTTCTTGAATATTCTTATATTCATAAATATTCTTGGGAAGATTCCTCACTGGGAGAGTGATGGGTCACTGGAACAGGTTCCCAGGGGAAGTGCTCATGGCACCAAGCCTGCCAGAGCTCCAGAAACATCTGGAAGATGCAATTAGTCATATAACTTTTTTTTTTTTTTTTTTTTTTGTAGTCCTGCAAGGAGCAGGAGGTTGGACTTGATGATCCTTGTGGGTCCCTTCTAAACCTGAGAGACTCTGTGTGCCTGCTCCCATGCCTGGGCTAAAGGGGGAGTCAGGCTCATGGAGCTATGGGGAGAAAAAGGAGGCAGCTGCCTTTTCAGGTGCAGCTTTCAACTAAATGAGCTCAACCTGAGCATAAAAGTGTAGGAGAACCTTGATTTTATAACTTGGGGCAGCCTCAGAGGGAGGTTTCACCAGAAGGCAAAGGAGATCTCTGCCAAGAAAAAGGAACATTTACCCCTTTCTGTTGTGCCCCAGGACAAGGGGAATGGCTTTAAACTGAGGGAGAGTAGATTTAGTCAGGAAGGAATCCTTCCCTGGGAGGGTGGGCAGGCCCTGGCACAGGTTGCCCAGAGAAGCTGTGGCTGCCCCACCCCTGGAAGTGTCCAAGGCCAAGTTGGACGGGGCTTGGAGCACCCTGGGCTGGTGGAAGGTGTCCCTGCCCATGGCAGGGGGTGGAATGAGATGAGTTTTAAGGTCCTTTCCAACCCAAACCCGTCTGGGATTCTGTGATTTCTGGCATTTGATCTCTCTCTCTCTCTCTCTCCCCCATCATAAGCCCTGGCTGAATCTCTTTGCTGTGCCAGTGCCAGGAATAGTTAATTTTCTGTGAAATTAGTGAGCTAAAGGGGCTCACTGGGAGTGCCAGAGCCTGGGTGGAGCCCTGGGAAGCAGGATCCAGGTAAATGGTCTCAGTTACCTGATCCAGCAGCTCAGCTCTTTGCTGCAGCTCCAGACTGAGCACAGAGTTCAGCTCAGGTGACAGTCAATAACTTCTTAAGCTGTTTTAACTTAATTACCTTGATCCATTTGAGCATTCTAAGGCCAAAGCATCATTCCCAAGAGACTTTTTGCTGTATTGAAACCGATCTCTTTTATGGGAAGTGTCACTAAAGACTCGGCTTGATTATTGTATTATTTTTATTGCATTAAAATAAATCAGCAATGGATTAATACTCAGCATTTGTCAAAATGCTGCAGCAGGACTGGATGCTCAGATCAGACACCCTCTAAGAGACCTGGAATGTCTCACTGGGCTGCTCTTCACCAGTGTCATCAGGGGTTCAGAGCATAGGGAGAAGAGTGGTGCCATGAATTTATGTACTGCTGTAATTAGCTGTGCTATTAATCAGCTCTTTAAAAAGGTGCAAGACAGGCACGTGTTAAATGGCCTGAAAGGTCCCACTGCCTTAAGGAAATGCAAAACCAAGGGCAAAGCCTTGAGCTGGGGGGATTTTGGGGTGTTTGGGGACTGTTCCCAAATGAGGTGTGTGCCCAGCCTACTGTTAGCCTGCAGGTTAGACAAGGCAAAAGGAGAAAAGGAGGACAAAAAAAGAAATAAAAAGTAGTTTATGGTGCCCCATTAATGCTCTGGGCTCAGTGTCTCCTCTCAGCCCTCTGAGGGTGAATTAGCCTGGGCTGTGTTCCCCAGAATCAGAGAATCACAGAATGGGTTGGGTTGGAAGGGACCTTAAAACTCATCCATTCCCACCCCCTACCACGGGCAGGGACACCTTCCACCAGCCCAGGTTGCTCCAAGCCCCGTCCAACCTGGCCTTGGACACTCCCAGGGATGGGGAGTCCCCAGCCCATGGATGGATAACCCATGGATTGCTCTGCCAGAATTCCCTGCAGCTGCTGATTCCTCACTGGGAGGGTGACAGTGGGAGGCTCTGCCAGGCCCTGCAGGAGCTGTTCTGTACAGGATGTTTCTGGAGTGCCCAGGAAGCATCACTGGGCTGCTGAGGGATCCCTCTGCCAAATTAACCCCTGGGTGTTCAAGACAGGTGAAAATCTGCATGGAAATAAAACAAGAGCTTCTGGCTCTCCCACCTTCTCTGCTGCTCTCGTGGAGAGGAGCTGGTTTAGGGAGTAGCTCTAACACAAACCACACCACTGTTGTAGCTGCTCTGGTTTCAGCCACAGTTTAGCTGCAGAATGGAAAGGGTGAGGGACAAGATGAACTGTTTTCAGAGTTCAGCAAGCTTGGCCCTGCCAAAGGATGGGCACAGGAACAATTCCTTGTGCACTCGGGCTGGTCTGTGCTCTGCATTCCTGGGGAGCAGCCCAGATTCCTGGGGAGCTGTCCCAGCCCCTGCTCTCCCAGGGTTTGTCCCAGAACCTCTGCCTGCCCTGGGAACACTCACTGTGCTTCAGACCAGGGCAATCCTGAGTTCTGACAGCGCTGCCTCACCAGTGCAGAGCCCAAAAATCACTGTGGGGTGGCCCCTTTGCACGTTCAGACTGTTAATTTTGTGGGGAAGGGGCAGAGAGAGAGATTTGGAAAAGGGATCACCCAAAGAGGTTTGTTACCCAAAACTAGGGGTGCAAAGTGTCAAGTCCCTTGGAGATGCAAAGTTCTTGTGAGACTCTGGGCATGGCTCAGGCTCAGATGTCTCACCAAAGCAGCTGTGCTGCCCTGAGGGCCCTGTTGGGATCCTGTGCTGGCTGTGGGGGCACTGTGGAAGGGCATGGGTGGCTTTGGGCAGAGGGCAGAGGGCAGGAGCAGCCCACGAGGTGTTTGTTAATGTTGGGTCAGAACTCATTTAACCCCCAGTGCAGCGTTCTCTCCGGGCTGGGAGAGGGGCAGTTTTCCAGGAATGTGGAGTCCCAAGTGCATCTACCTGGACAGCAGATGCCAACAGAGCTGCAGGTTGGCAAAGGCAAAGGGAAAGGATTTGGTTATCAGCCAGTCTGCAGTTTTGTTGGGTTCCTTACCGGTGTTTTCCAGAGAATGGTTCAGCTGAGCTTGAGGTGCTGTCAGAGACAGGAGCACCTCAGCTGGACCCTGGGCAAGAGGGGGCTGCAGCAATCCCACTGCTGGGAGAGTGCTGTGGTTTATGTGTCTGCCCTATATGGCAGACTGTGCTAATCCCAGAAATCTGCCCTCAGGATTGCCCAGAAATAGCCCAAACCCTCTTTCTTCCAATCCTCTTACCATTTGGAAAGCCAGATAATTTTTCCCAGTCTGATTTAGTTTCTTTAGTTTCTAAGGCAGCTTCAACCTCGTGGGTTTTCTGTGTGTGTTTGTTACCCTTTTGCCTGGAATAACTGTCCAGGCACGTGCTTGGATTTGAATATCCAGCCAAAGGCAGATCCCAGTGCTGGCAGACTGAAATTTGTGATGGAGAACTGTGTTAAATTTTAAAAGAAAGTCATTAACTCCCAGGCCAACCAGCTGAATGGGCAGTTTGCTGGAGACTTGAACAAAACTGCAGGTTAAGGTCAGTCCCAGGGGTTGGAATGCGAGGAGGGAAGTTAGGAGGAGTTGACTCTTTGCTGTTGGGAGCCAGGGGAGGACGGGGCCGCCATCTCTTCCCAGCTTACAATTTAATTTGTGACTTCCCACGTTGGATCTCTGCTCCCTTGGGACGTTTATACACTGGTTTGGTTTTATTTCCCCCCCCCTCTCCTTTACAGTGGTGCCACAGCCAAAGGCTGGTGGCAGCTGAATCAGAGCCTGGGCACAGGAGGCTGGTGCTTGGAGAGGATCCTGAGCCTGCATGGAGCAGCTGGGAGAGCCAGGGCTCACACGTGAGTGCTCGGGTGGTTTCTCCACTCAGTTCGCAGCCCTGCTCGGTCTCCCGGGGGAGGGGAGGGTGGGGGATGACTCTGCAGGTGCCTGGTTATCCCCAGGGAGTCAGATCCTGGCACCTGGAGGAGGAGGTGAGGGTCTGTGTCTCCCCCATGCCCGTCGAGGGGGGTGGGAGATGCCTGGATCTGGGTGGGGTCTCGGTTATCCCGGCTCTCTCTCCCAGTGCCTTGTGCTGCAGGGTGGAGCGGGTGGAACCTGCTGGGTTGAGTGTTAGGAGTGATTTCTGCAGCCAGCGAGCCTCAAACCCTCTGGGAGATGGTTGTGGGGGGAGACTCCCATGGCCTGGGAGTCCCACAGAGACTCTTTGCTATAATTTATGTATTATTATTTTGAAAGCCCTGTCCCTGAGGACTCTTTCCCTCCCAGTCATGAGTCTGCTCTAGCGAGGGGGACTGCATTGGTTACTGTCCTGCCTGTCTCTTAAAAGCCTTTTACAATAAAGACAGGGAGAGGAGAGGCTTTGTGCGAGCCTGGGGAGCTCCTTGGAGACAGGAGGGTGTGTGAACACCTCTGAGCACTCTGTGTGTGCTGGGGAGAGCTGCGGGTTTTGGCAGGGCTGGAGGGGAACGACACAAACCATGGTCCTGGTGCTGTCGAGGTGCTGTGTGGGACTGGAGAGCAGGACACGGCAAGGCTGGGCAGGTACACGTTTATCTCTCCCATTCTGCTCTGCTCACATTCCAGAGGTTCAGGAGAGCTGGGATTGCAGGGGGGATGGTTTGCTGTTCCCTCAGCAGGGCTGCTCCATGTGCCTGTCCTCTGGGCTGAGCTGTACTGGTCCCTGGAACGGGCAATCCCAGACTGGGGTTTCTTTTTAGGGTCAAGTAAATTTGCTGGGTAAAAGCTTTACTTTTGATGGGGATCACTGGGAATGTCAGCAAATGGATTCAGCTCTTCAAATGAAGGGGAGTTTTTGATCATCCCAAGGGGAGGAACATTTTGAAGTGCCTGAGGAGTGACCCTGTGTCCCTGGGCAGGGCCATCCCACCTCTCTGCCGGCTCCTGCTCATCCAGGTCAGTGCTCTGACACAATTTACCTGTGTCCGTGGAGCTCAGGCATAGACAGTGGCAAGGGACAGATGGATGTTGGGGACAGTGGCAGGGCCCCTCTTCAACCCTACTGTCCATCCAGGAGGTGACAGCAGCACAGAGTGTGACCCCAGGCAGTCCAGGGCCTCTCTTCTGGGGATCTCCATCTGCAGTACAAACACAGCCATGAGGGAGGGGGGTTCAGCTGCTGTGAGAGATCCCCTGACCCTCCCTGTAGGTGGAATATTCCCTCTTGGAATATTCTGTAACATAAATACATGGGACTCAGTCCCTCTCCCAGGTTCTTATCAGTGCTGCCTGTTGAAGACAAGAGATGAAGATGCAGATGGGATGAGGGGGTTCATCCCCACCCCAGCTCTGTGTTCAGGGTTCTCTTGCCTGTCAGCAGGTGTGGCAGAGGATGTGGCAGCTCCAGTTTCAGCTCAGTTTGGAGGAGCTCTGAGGTTGCAGAGCTGTGCTGCAGCTGAAGGCTTTGCTGCTGGGCAGAGCCAGACCTGCCCCCCTGGCTGTGCCTGTGTCCACAGGGAGAGCACAGAGCAGGCCATGGGGAGGTGTTTCTAAAGGCCAGGGTGCAGATATCTCCCTGGAACAGGGAGCTGTGGAATGCTGTGGCATAGGCTGTGTGCTTGGGCAGGTCATCTCCTGGCTGGACAGCCTGGGTGTGGTGCAGGGATGTGCTCCTGGCTGCTGGCAAAGGACCTGTTCCTTCTCTGGGGCTCTGTGTTCCCCTCCTTGTGCTTCTGGGCTTGGTTGGCTGCATTAACCCCCACCTGAGGGGCCTACAAAGCAGCTGTGCCAGATGTGGGAGGCCAAATACTTGTATGGGCAGAGATACTGGAGCAGCCTTTGCCCTCCTGTGTCCACCACATTCCACCAGACCTCAACCTGAGCCTGCTGCTTCAAGTCCCTGTTGGGAGAGGCAGGAGCCAACAGCACTGGCATTCCCATGGATTACTGGTCCTGAAGGATTCCAGAGCCTGCAGGGCAGCACTGGGAGCTGGGGGGGGGGGACACCAGGCAGACAGAAGAGTTGAGATGGCGGCTCCAGCTTGCAGGGTTTGGACCAGTGTCACCAGGCTGCATCTTCTGCTCCCCTCCCACAGCTCTGGCACCGTCAGCCTGGCTGGGGAACAGGGATTCAGCTTCCCCTGGACTCCAATCCAGCAGTGGGGTGAGAAAAGGCAGATGAGCCGCAGCTGCTGGGAAAGCTGAGGCTGGGGGAGCTGCTGGTGCTGTGGCTCTGCTGTCTCACAGATGTTTCTGCTTGTTGACACGTCCTGCACTGCTGGTGCATCCTCTGCATTTTGATTGGGGCAGCAAAGGCCACTGCAGTGCTGAGCAAAAAAGCAGCAATTAAAGAATAAATCACATCTTTGTTAGGGGCCCCCTCCCTGCCCCAGCTCTGCATCCCTGTGGCTGGAGGGAGTGCTGGGGGGCTCCTGGGCATTGCTGCCAGAGGGCTGGGCAGCAGGAGGGCAGCTCAGCTGTGCCCACAGCCCTCACCCTGGCGCCTGGTGACTCTTCCCTTGGGAACAGCATCCCTGGGGGTGGATCTGGGTGCTCCCTGGAGCACAGGGGTGCCTCTCACAGCCTGAGCGGAGTCAGCTCTGGGATTTTCTGCCCCCCTGCACATTGTCCAGCTCACAGCCCAGCTGGTGCCTGGCTGCTGTGACATGGGAAGGAGGGGGGCAGGAGCTTTGTATGGGGGCTGGCAGCAGAAAACCCTGCCCGGCCTTCCCTGGCTCCAAACATCTCCAGAGGCACCAAACAGTGAGTGGTTTTGGCTGCCTGCTTGGCTGGGTGCCTTCCCAAGGCCTCTGCAGCGTGTCAAGGTTAGGGCTGAGCACTGCCAGGGCAGGCAGCCCAAACAGGGCTGTGCTCTTTGTCTGGTGCCCGTTGGAGGCTGCTGGGTCGTTATTTGTCTCCCCTGGTGCCCAGAGGGGCTGGGATTTAGGGATTTATGGCAGTGCTACAATAGGTGTCTGTGGCAGTGATGGATTGGGCTGTCCCATGGACATTCCTCCCTCCCTCCCTCCCTTGCTCCCTCTGTCCCTCCTGCTGCTTTTCCTGCAGTTCCAGGCAGTTTTGCCAGTGTAAATCCAGCTGAACATGCAGTGCCCCTGCCAGAGTCAGCCAGACTTTGGGGGAGAGGGCAGCTTTTCTGGGGAGCAAACAGCCTTTCCAAGTTGCTGCCTCTGTGCCAGGCCCCTCTGGCTGGGGGCTGGGAAGGTGGAGCTGGGGATGTTTTGGGGGTACCTGGGGGCACTGGGCAGGGTGTGGGAGGTGCTGTCCATCTGTCCATCCTGGCACACACTGCCATGGCACAGAACAAACCTGGGCAGATGTTTCTGACCCTGCAGAGTTACTGGGCAGTGCTGGTTCTTCTGCTCTGTGCTGTTTGCTGGGAGATCTCTCCATCAAGGCTCCCAGTTCTGGATCTGTGCCCTTTTGTCTCTGTCAGCATCAGATCCTGTGGCAGGTTTCTGGGTGGTGGTTTGCTGGCTGTGGGTGAGGAGGGACAGGCTGGGGCTGGTGTGCCTTCACGGGGAGCTGGACACGAGGAAACCATCCAGTTCCTCCCTGTGTGGAGCCTCCCTGCTGCTCTGAGCCTCAGGGTGTGGGCTGGGAGCTGGGTCTCAGCCCAGAGTCTTGCAAGACTGTGCCCAGCTTTGGGGCCACCAACAGAAGGATGTGGAGCTGCTCTGGAGTCCAGAGGAGGCCACAAAGGTGCTCCCAGGGCTGGAGCCCCTCTGCTCTGGAGCCAGGCTGGGACAGCTGGGGGGGTTCCCCTGGAGATGGGAAGGATCCAGGGAGATCCTTGCAGGGCCTAAAGGGGCTCCAGGAGAGCTGGAGAGGGACTGGGGACAAGGGATGGAGGGACAGGACACAGGGAATGGCTTCCTACTGCCAGAGGGCAGGGTTAGATGGGATATTGGGAAGGAATTCCTCCCTGTGAGGGTGGGCAGGCCCTGGCACAGGTTGGGCAGAGAAGCTGTGGCTGCCCCTGGATCCCTGGAAGTGTCCAAGGCCAGGTTGGACGGGACTTGGAGCAACCTGGGCTGGTGGAAGTGGGGATGGAACTAAGATGATCTTTAGGTCTCTTCCACCCCAGCCCCTTCTGCCATTCTAAGACTCTCCTGAACACCAGGGGTGGCAGGGCAGTGTCTCAAGTGTCCTGAGAGCTGCTTACAGATTACTGAAGCCCTGATGGGGCTGTGCATCTGTTTCCAATCTCATAAACCAGTGCTGAGTGGAGCCTCGGGGCTGCTCTTGGCATGTGGGATGTGAGGGGCCGTGGCCAAGGCTGCAGCTGGGATGTGTGCCAGGGGTGACTCCCTCTGAACATGGATCTGTGTTCTGCTGTGCTGCTGGACTGAGGGATCAGCATCACCCCTCTCCTCTCTGCTCCCAGGCAGGGCTGGGCAGTGGGGTGATGGCCTGGGACAGACGTGTCACTGCCAGCACGTGCCATGTGTGTGCAGAGCTGGCCAGGGGAGGGTGGGTGCAGGAGCCCTGGCAGGGTGCTGTGCTCTGGGGGAGGATGGGGCAGGGGGCAGGCATTCCATCGTGGCAGGTAAACCCCAGGGTCCTGCAGAGCCTGTGATGTCCCCTGTGTCCCAGCTCCCTGGCCTGCCGTGTCCTGCTCTCAGCTCCTCTTTTCTCTGGCAGGGACAGGGCAGAGGCCCCCATTGCAGGAGCTGGAGGATCTGCCAGCCATGAGGAAGGGGCCATGTGGGGCTGGACAACCCTCCCTGCGGGTTTCGAGGGCACCATCAGGGGGCAGGAGGAGGATCAGCCATGCGAGAGTGAAAGGGAAAGGTAAGTGCTGGGTGTGAGAGGGACTGTGGGCCAGGCAGGGCTCAGCCCTGGCCAGGAGAGTGTGGAGTGTGAGGGGGGTGTGTCCACCATCTGGGCTCTGTGGGAAATCTCATCTTTTTTCATCCCAGAAAATTCTGGGACAGCCCAGCCTTTGGGGAAATTTTTTTTTTCCCCCCAAGAAACCATCTCCATCGTTCCACAACACTCTCCAGGGCTGATGCTCAGCTCTGGGTGCCTCCTGTGAGCTGTGGTGCAGCCCCCTGAGCTGGTGGGTGCATTGCCAGCTCCTGGGTGATGGAAGGAGCTGCTCTGGGGTCTTGCAGAGTGACCTGAGGGGGCTGCATGACTCTTCCCTTGTTTGGGTCATACACTCAGGCACTCGGGGGGATGGGCCTGTGCAGGGCCAGGAGTTGGACTGGATGATCCTTGTGGGTCCTTCCAACTCGGCGTATTCTGTGATATGAGAGCCAAGCAGGTCACCCACGCCCCGCCAGCCCTCCCTTTCCCGGCTCACCCCTGGTTCTCCTGCACCCTTCCTCTGCCTGCAGTAATTCCCCCAATTCCCCCAAACGCTCCTGTCCCGCGTTGCTCCGGCGGGATCGTTCTCGAGCAGCTGAGAGTGCCGGCAAACCCGGTGGCACGAACAGTCCCGTGGATCGCTCACAGCCTGGCGGGAGGGAAGGTTTTGCAGGTTTTGCCCTTTTCCCCGGGGGCATCCGCAGGGTCTCGGGTCCGGCCGCGTCCCGTGGCGCGGGGCCCGGCCCCGCGTGTTCCCGCAGGTGCGCTCCCGGTTCAAATCGGCGGGGCCAATGGGAGCTGGGCCGTTCCAACGGCTGGACGCGTGTCCCATGGAAACCCGGCCCTGCCCCGCTGCAATCACCGCCCGGCGGCCCCGGCCCGGCCAGGGAGGGCTCCAATCGCCGGCTGCTCAGCCAGCCATGGAGCCCGGCACTGTCCGCAGGGTCTCGCTCTGCTCCCGCCGGGATGAGCCCCGGGGAAGCTCCTTCTTCCTCAGCACGTTCGGTGAGTGCGGAGCCCCCGGATTTGGGAGCAGGGGGCAGGCGGTGCCCGGGGGGACGGGGCTGTGACCGCGGCTGGTGCAGCCCAGGGAGCAGGGACAGGGCACGGCCAAAGCCCGCAGCTGTGGCTGCAGCCCCGGCCCCCTTTCCCAGTGGGAAGGGGCTGGGGAGCCGCTCCCCGAAGGTGTTTTCGGCGCCGAGCAGCAGCCTGATCGCTTCTGCCTCACTGAGCTGGAATAACACGCGGCTCCACCGAGCTGGCAGACCGGGGAGCGCCCTCGGCCACCGTGCGGCCACCGGGCATCCTGTAGGTGCCCAATGCCCAGGTCGTTCTGCCCCTGGATGGGCAGAGCCCCGCTTCCCTTCTTTGCTCCCTGGGGGTCTTTCCGTGGCCGTCTCAGGGTTGCAGGATGCGCTTGAAGAAGCCCCGTGGGCAGAGGTGGCTGAGCTCTGCTGGCCTGGTGATGGTTTGGGTCTGAGCCCGTCAGGTGAATTTGGCAGAAGGGGGTTTGGCCGTTTGTGGGGTGGGATGGCTGGGCCTCACTCAGAGTGGCCCTTTCTGGGTGCTGCTTTTTAAGCAAGAGTTTTATTTCGAAGCTTCTTCTTGTTCTGGTGAGCAGAGCAGGCAGCAGCAGTGAGCCCCTTCCCAGGGCTGCTGCCCCTTCCCAGGGATGCTCTCCCTTCCTAGGGCTGCTGCTCCTTCCCAGGGCTGCTGCTCCTTCCCTGTTTTGTCTTCAAGTGTCTAACTGCTGAGGACTGTCTGGAAGCTGAAATCCTCATAGGACTTATGCCAAATAATGTGGGTTCTCTGGTACCTCTTGGCTCTGTAACCAAGTCCAGGCCAAGCATCATCTCAGCAGCCACAGTTCCCCTCGTGGGCTGAGCAGCACTGGTGACAGGAGCAGTGTGTGCTCTGAGCAGCAGAGCCATGGCAGGACAGGGCCAGCTCTGCTTTCTCCATGTGGTGACCAGGAGAGGGTCTTCCAGAGGGCTGGTGCCAGAGCCTGAGGTTGTGGGTGGTGATCTCAGGGTGCTCTGCCTTGTGCCCCTGCCCAGGCAGGACCTGGCACTGCTGTCCTCTGGTGGGAATTCCCAACAATGGGCCTTGGCTGTTCCATCCAGGGCCAACCCTGCATTTTTCCTGCAATAAAGCAGAAAAGCATTTCAGGAGCAGCAACCCAAATTTTCCCTTTGTCAGAGACCATCAGTAAGGAACAGGTTTTCCTGCCTGCTGGGTCTGCTCCCAAAGAACATTCATGTGTCTCCTCCCTCAGCCTGGCAAACTTCTCTCCTGGGTGGGAACCTGTTTGATTACCATCTTGTGCTTGTTCATACCCACTTTTTTCCCTCTTTTCCTTGTGCCAGCTTTGTTCCTCAGCTAGAATTGCCTCTCCTGGCCCTGTGGGGTGCAGATGGACGGGGCCTGGGTGCTCTCTGTGCTGCAGACCAGCTGAGCCCTGCTCTCTGTGATGGGATGTTCACAAAGGAGCTGCCTGTGGGTTCTCCCTCTGCTCTTCTCTGCACTATTTTAATTCCTATTGACCTTCATTGAACATGGGGGACCTGGACAAGCTGTGTCAGGGCCTCTCTGCTGAAACTGTTTCCCTTAGTTCACGTTAGGGATGTATCAAAAGAGGAAAACCCTTGGAAAAGGTTTCTCTGACCCTCTTGGATCGAGGTGGGAATGCAGCCCAAGAACTTGCTGTGGCAGGGGTCGTGTTCCTGCCCACCCAGCTCTGGAGGGATGTTACTGCTCTGCACTGCTGAGAAAATACAACAGGTCCGTCCAAGCACAGACCTTGGCACTGCAAATCCCTTCCACCAGCTCAGGCTGGGTCGGCTCCTCCAACAGCAGCTTCCCTCTGATCCCAGCCCTGTGCAAGCACTGGAATTGCTGCAAAGCCAGCGAGTGTTTCCCTGGCCAGGGCAGGCTGGAGCCCTTTGGTGTCTGACAGGCTGGCTGGGGCCTGCTGGGGTGTGTGATTTGTCCCTCCCTGTGCTTTGGAGACACTGGGGAGCAAAGGCATTAAGAGGGCAGTGTCCTCAGTTCCTCACACATAGGAGAGACCTTTCCCACCGACACTCCCAAACACTTCCAATAGGGCCAGTTTTGCCTGAAGAAGGCAGAACTGCCCCTTTTCTCCCTCCCTCCTCTCTTTGGTGCTGGTGCAGCCCGTGCCACAGCCCTGGGCACTGTCAGTGACAGTGACAGCAGTGACACACACACCCTGCCAGGGCCAGGGTCTGGTGTGACCTCACCCCTCGCTGTGCAAAGCTTGGCCCCACACGCTCCCCCAGGAGCTGAGCAGCCCCAGCCATCCCCAGGCCAGGGTGGAAGACCTTCCTCCCCCCCTGAATTACCCAGCACAAAAGCTTCCCTTCCCCTCCCAGGGCCCATTCATTCCTGGTGAGCCCTCGTCACACTTGGCTGCACGGGGGCACTTTGCTCTCGTGTTGCAAAGGCTGTTCCGTGCCCACAGTGGGGCTGGGAGAGGGTTCCCACAGCCCCAGAGATCTGGAGACAGCAGAGGGGTTCCAGCCTCGTGCCCAAAGGCTGGGGTGGCAGCAGAAAACTGGGGCACACAGTTTACATTCTCACTGCTGTAAACCAGCAGTGGAGCTGTCCTGGCTCACCCCACCTGGCTCTTGTCTCCCCTTTCTCCCCCTGCACATGTATAATTGCACACAGACACACATTTCCACGTGTTCCTGCACACACAGACACACGTGAGCTGCTGAGAGGTTTGACATCTTTTTTTTTTTTTGGGGGGGGGAAAAATGAGTCTTCTGGATTGTTTCAGGTTAAACAATCCCATTAGATATTCCCCCCCGCCCAGTGAGCCTGAGCCCTTTGGGTACATCTTTGGCAAGATGAGATGTTGGGTTTTAACTTGAAAGGTGTTTAGATGTCTGTAAATTATGTTTAGACACTTGTTTTGGTTGTTGTGTTTTGTAAACTGGAACAGAAATAAAAACGGGATATTTTGCTTTGGACTAAATGGAGCTTTGGACTATTCTGGGGTATTTTGCTCTAAATGACATGTTGTGCTATTGATGCTTTCAGTCTCTGGATTCTCCAGGGACATGTTTGGGCTGATGCAGAGTTGCCA